GGTTGAGATCCCCTTACCGGTCATCTTTAAAAAAAAAAAAAAAAAGAAAGAAAGATAATAGAATCTTTCCATGAACTTTCTGAAGTACCGTCATATATCTGCCAATGTACCAAGATACACAATAGGGATTTGTTGTTGTAATGTTTCATAAGAAAGTTAAAGACCACCTGCCATGTATCTGCCAAGAGATTGGAAGGAAACAGTTTTTAATGTAAAGAGATGGAGACATGTAGAAACTTCCATACTGGGGTCATCTTAAGCTCATGTGTTACTGAGTCCTGTAGGTTGTGGTGGGCTTCCAGTCTAAGCACTTCTCTGCCCTCCCTTCCCCAGCTCGCCTTCCACGGTTGGCTCTCCTCCAGTTCCATCATGCCTTCATCCCTCTTCCATGGAAATACAATTCCTTGTATCTATTAGCTATTTGTCTGTCCTCTACTCACAACATCCTCCCGTCTCCTAACCCTTAATCAGAGATGACAGAAAGACAGCGTACATGCAAAGGCTGTAAGACTTCCCACAACAGCTAAAAACAGAGATTTCACGTAGAAAACCAGATTTCTTCTTTTCATAATTGATAAATCTTGTAATGGTGAGCCCATTTTCCATCTAGCAGTAATGTGTTGGAGCTAAAGCGTAGTGGGCTGCTTTAGGTGGGGCACGAACACTTTAATTTGCCACTGTTCTCACCACGCCTGCTTCTTTCCTGCCCATCCCCTGTAGGTACTTGAGAGAGAGGCGCTTCCAGGGAACCCACTGTTCTCTTTGAACAGTCTTTTTCAAACTTTTTTGCAGGTGATCATAATAAAAAATGTATCATTTTATATCATGACCTGGTACATGCACACATATTTATGAAATTGTATAAACAAAGCAAGCAAAAACTTCACAAAACATCACTAATCTGTACTGTGTATAGTATGCTCCAATATTTTCTGTTTTACTTTCTTAAAAGGAAGTTCTGGTTGCAGTCACTAAATTGATCATATGGTCTATTAATGAGTTTTAACCCAAATTTTGGAAAAACACTGCCTTAGCATACCATTTTCTTTACAGCCTCATCTCCCACACCCTGGTCTTTGCCTAGTTCTGCACTGCTACATCCAGATTTCTGTTCTTCTGCCCTTTGAGGACATTTTATTCTGCACTATCACTTCTAACCTTCTTAACTGTCACCTACCCACCTTGAGATCATTTCTCCATATTTAATAAGTTCCTATGTTCAGATGGGTGCCATTATCCCCAACAGGCAAGCTGGTCCCGTTGATTCTGATGAACACTCATTCCCATAACCACACATTGAGGCTTTTTAATCACTTGGCACTGAAGTGCCTCTGAAAATGAAATTTTAATCTTGAATATGTCTTTTTCTGACCATGATCTTTTATCCTTTTTGCTCTCCCTTTTCTGTACTCTAATGTACTTCCTTTTTTAAATCACCATGTCCTTCGTTCTCCAACACTTTTCTCCCTTCTGATTTTTCTTGCCCTTCTGGTTTCATTTCTCACCCATGTCCATTCTAGATCCTATGATTCATGACCTAATTAACAACTCTTGATGGCATCTTTACGTCTTGTGCCCCTAGGCTTTCTCCCACAGTTCCTTTGCTACTCCATGGCCTGGCTTCTCCAGCCATCCGCTTCATCCACACGTAACGTGGGGCTGCTGAAAGCTGGTGGAGGACATTTTACTCCTGTAGAGATTGTTACCACTACAGATTTTAGGTCTCAGGCCTCACCAAGGCCCTCAACTCGGGTAGTACAGATTGAGTACTCCTTATCAAAAATGCTAGGGACCAGAAGTGTTTTGGATTTCAGATTTTTTTCGGATTTTGGAATATTTGCCTTATACTTACCAGTTACACATCCCAAATCCAAAAATCCTTCAATGAGCATTTTCTTTGAGCATCATGATAGCACCCAAAAATTTCGGATTTTGGACAATTTCAGATTTTGGATTTTCAGATTTGGGATGCTCAACCTGTAATACCACGTGTGTCTGGTCATATTCTTCACCTCTTACCTACAACAATTATTCCAGATTTTCATCACTCTCCATACTCTCCTTACCCATTTTGTGATCAAAAATGTATTATTTTCATAGAAAAATTGAAGTCATGAGTAAACTCTCATCTTCCCACCTTTATAGCCACATACAAACATTCCTCCCTACACACCCTGTCACTGTCACCTTCCCTCTAACTTCTGAGGAAAGGTGTCTTTTCTGGTACTCATGGTTCATCTTTGGAGCTGTTGTAGGTGTCTTCCCATTTCTTCTAGGAGCCCCTCCTTCAGTTTTTACTTTACTCTTCTATGTCCTCTCTCTCTCCCAGTGCCCTGGCTGCTGCTTATCCTTAGCTTATAAAACATGCTGAAGTGCGTTCTACCTTTTTTTTAATTCAATTTTATTTATATTTATTTTTGTGGGGAACAGTGTGTTGTTTCAGTACATACGTATCTTTCACATTGATTCACTTAGGGCAGATAGCATAGTTTTGTCCCCATTAGTTCACTCACCCCTTATCTTCCCCCCTCCGCCCCCCCCCCACTTCCCAGCCTCTGGTAACTATTATTCTATTCTCTTTTTTTTTTTTAAACACACAAAGATTAATATCCTTATTGCAAAAAAAACCTCTTAAAAATGAATTAGAAAAATATAAGCTGAAATTTGGTAAAGGCCATGAGGAGATAAGTCATACACCCAAAGAAATACATGTGGTTAGTAAGTATCGTCTAGGATCTGGAGTGGAGGTTGGGGGTGGGGGGAGCCGGCCCGCCCAGCCCCATGTCTCAGGATCCCAGATGTCAGGCAGACTCCGTTGCTGGCCTGGATGGGCAGTGGCGGGGGCAGGGCTAGGGCCCACGGCCCCCATCTCCCAGGACCCCCTGGGCGTCAGGCTGGCTTTGGTCAGTGCATTCTATTTTTAAATAGCAAAACTTTTCTTGTGAAACCTGTATCTTTCTCACTCTATAGAGATAATGATCTAGAATCACCCTCTGCTTCCTCACCTGTTATTCACTGTTCAAGATCATGCTCAAGTGGTACCACCTCCATCTTTCACCTTCCCTACCAGCACCCCCCAAGGCACACGTATGTCCCTATCCAGACAAAGTTAAGTTACTTCGCTTCAGTGCTCCCAGCACACCATTACTGTTTATCACATTATAGTTTTGGTAGACTGTAAGTTCTTTGGTAGGAATTTCATCTAATTATCATTGAATCCCAAATACCTGGTAGTCTGCCATCAGGAACATAGTAGGAAGTTCATAAACAATGATCACAGTTGCAAGAATTGGAATACCTTTTATAAAAAATCAAGTAAGATATATTGAACACACTTCAGTAGACTTTCAGTAATATTAGATAATTATTTTGACATGTTATTTTATAAGGCTGATGGAATATTAAAAGTGCTGTTTTTTCCCAAGTAACTTTCAGAAATCTTACCTTTTAATTGCTACAAATATTTATTTTAAATTATATTCATACATTTTCAATGTCAAAGACAGAAGCAGGACAATAGGTAGTTTTTGGGGGTTTTTTTTGTCCTTTTTGAGACCGGCCGCACCGCGCTCAGCCACTGAGCGCTGTGAGCGCACTGACCACCCCTATATAGGATCCAAACCTGCGGCGGGAGCGCTGCTGTGCTCCCAGCGCCGCACTCTCCCAAGTGCGCCACGGGCTCGGCCCAAAATTGGTAGTTATGATCCTTCCTATAATTTTAAAATAGATTAATTCATTTTTATATATATATTTGACAGAATCATTCCGTGCACCCACATTTTCATACGGACCTGATGGAAATGGTTTCTCTCTTGGATACAGTAAAAATTGGAGACAAGTCTTTGGCGATGAAAAGAAATATTGGCTACTTCCAGTATTTTCAAGGTAATTTGTAAAATGCAGGTCTCAGAAGTTATGAAATCTGTGGTAGTCTCTGTCTTTCTGGTTAAATGTCTTAAGATTCAGAGAATACAATACATAATGACATTTTTATGGGCCTTTAAAATGAAAACTCAGAATATCTTGATTATATAGAAAAAATATTTTTTTTTATTAGATAGGATAAAGGAGAGTTTGAGCATACATTTGAATGGAAAGTAGGAAAAAATAAAGATGATTCATAAAAAATAATCATTTTTTTCCTTCAAAATGAAAATAAGTTGCCTGAAGTAGGGAATAATAGGCATTTATACTTATTAACCATAGTTTCAAAGATACCGTTACCAGAAGTGAATTGTGTATTCTGTTGTCTTAAATCAAAGAAGACCACACACAGTGCAATTTTACCTCAAATGTAAATGAGAATACATGCTCAAGATGATTCGTATTTTCCATTTCTTTCTAATTCCCAGCCATTTTAGGCCTACACCAGAGTCATTAGAGAGAAGGAAAAAATATTTTAAATCAAGTGACATGTTTGTAAGAGCTGTGGGGTTTTTTTCTTAATTTGAATTGCCTATTTTTGTCTGAAAATGACTTGTCTTTATTTTTGAAGGGCACTTCTGCTGAATATAGAATTCTAGATGTTGCTTCACTGTCTTCTGGCTTGCATTTTTTCTGAGAAGTTTATAGTCACTCTTGTTTTTGTTACTGTATATATAATGTGTCTTTTTCCTCTGGCTACTTTTAAGACTTTGTTTATTACTACTTTTACACTTGATCTAGTTTTCTTCATGTTTCTTGTGCTTGGGATTGGTCAGGTTTGTTGCATCTGTGGATTTATAGCTTTCATCAAATTTGGAAAAAATTGTTAACTTATTTTTTCTGTCATCTGCCTTCCCCCATTACCGTGAGACTACAATTACACATATATTGGTCCACTCAAATTTCTCCCACAGCTCAGTGATGCACCGTACATTTTTTGTTCAGTCTTCTTTCTCTTTCATTTGTATAGATCCTCTTGCTATATCTTCAAGTTCACCAATATTTTTTGTGTACTTTATCCATTGTTTCATGTATTCAAGGTTTTTCCATTCCCACAAGTTGGAACACAGACCATTTGTTTTCAGGCTGTTTTCTCTAAACAGAATTCAAAGTTGACAGGTTTTTTGGTTCTTTCCCCTTTAAAGGTGTTGTTCCATTATCTTCTTTCTGCTTTGCATTGTTTCTGATGAAAAGTCAGCCTCAATCCTGTTTATTCCATTGTTTGTAAGTCAGTATATCTTTTCTCTCCTCTGGCTGCTTTTAAGATTTTATCTTTAACACTGGTTTTAAGCAGTTTAAGATGATGATGTCCCTTGGTATTTGTCCTGCCTGGGGTTTACTAGGCTTCTTGGAACTGTACTTATAGTTTTCGTCAAAAGACAAAAAAAAAAAAAAAAAAAATTTTTGATTAATTTTTATCAATTATGTCTTCAATTGATTTTTCTGCCTACTCCCTTCTCCATCCCCTACCCCCACCAGCTTTTCTGGTACTCTTAAATATGCATCTTTTAAATTGATTGATAGTGACCCATAAGTTATTGGTATTCTGTCCACCATCCTCTCCTTCATCATCTTTCTTTCTCTCTGCTTAATTTTGGTTAGCTTTTACTGTTATGTCTGCAAGTTCACTGATCTCTTCTGAAATGTCTAATCTGCTGGTAAGTTCATCCAGTGAAATTTTCATTTCAGATGTTGTATTTTTCAGCTCTGGAATTTCAGTTTGGTTCTTTTTTATATCATACATTTTTCTTCTCATTATATCCATTTTTTCTTTTAATTCATGGAAATATTTATTTATGTATTTATTTATTTATTCTTTTTGTGTGTGTGTGACCAGTAAGGGGATCAGAACCCTTGGCTTGGTGTCGCAAATGTAACTGTGCATCCTGTATTTTATCTGCGAACCTAGATATCTGTGAAGTGCGTAGACACACACTGGCATTTTTCTTGGCCTCCAGTGAATAGTAGTAGCTATTATTATTTATTTATTTATCTTTTTTGTGACCGGTAAGGGGATCACAACCCTTGGCTTCGTGTCGCACAGCACCGCGCTCAGCCAGTGAGCGCAGCGGCCATCCCTACATAGGATCCGAACCCGCAGTGGGAGCGCCACTGGGCTCCCAGTGCCGCACTCTCCCGAGTGAGCCACGGGGATTGGCCCCATGGACACATTTATAATCGCTGTTTTGGGTTTCTTGTTTGCAAATTTTCACTGAAAATGCTAACATTCTGATTATTTTATATTGGCTGGGGTTTTTTTCCTAGCTATGAATCACATTTTCTCCTACTTTTCATGTCTAGTGATTTCTGAATGGATAGTGGACATTTTTTTTTTTGACCGGTAAGGGGATTGCAACCCTCAGCACGGTGTTGTCTGCACCATGCTCAGCCAGTGAGTGCACTGGCCATCCCTACATAGGATCCAAACCCACAACCTCAGCACTACCAGCGCCGCATTCTCCCGAGTGAGCCACGGGGCTGGCCCAATAGTGGACATTTTGAATGCTACTTTGCTGAGTATTTAGATTTTATTGTCTCAAAAAAGTTTTTTTTTAAATAGATTTTATTGTCTCCCTTTAAAGAATGTTGAATTTTGTTTTGGCAAGAAGTTAAGGTATTTATATTTCAGCTTGGTCTTTTTGCGGCTTGTTTTAAGTTTTACTTGTTTAAGCTTTACTAGGTTGGATCTAGAGTAGCCTTTTCTCTAAGGCTAAACTAGCCCTACAATAAAGATGTGGTCTTTACCAAATCCATGTGTTCAGTAAGCTCTCTCCATTTTGACTTGTCAAATTTGAATGCCTCCCAGTGCTGTGGGGATCCTGTGAATTGTTCAACTTAAGCTTCCCAGTTGTTCTTCTCCCTTTCATCAAAAACTTAAGTACAGCACTAGGCAAATTTCTGTGGCCACTTCTCTGCATATCTTTCTCCTCAACTTGGACTCATAGATTCAAGCCACCTCAGTTTCTCAAAACTCCCATCTCTATCACCACAGTTTAGTGATACTACCTTGCTCTGCTTGGTTTCCCTTCCTGGTGCTAAGATACTGGCAAAAAGCCGAGACGCATGTGGTTCATTTTTCTTTTTTCTGAGACCATAATTCTGTGCTGCCTTTTTTGAAAAAGCTAGGTTATACTGCTCAGTTTCTGATGGTTTATGATGGCATGTCAAGTTTACCAGTTATTCCATCTTGGCCAGAAGTGAAAGTCTCTGATGTATACAACTCCATGTGTTTAGAATGTGAAAGTAAGGCATGACTGTATTTTTTTTACACTGTAAGCTTCTGGAAGGCAGAGATTTTCTTCTCTTTTGTTCATTGCTATATCTGTAGTGCTTAAAATAGTACTCAGAACATCATAAGCATTCAGTAGATATTTTTCTAATGAATGCTGTTGAACGTTTAAATATGTAGACTACATCTTGAAGATCGATTTGAGCCGGTATGATGTCTTAAATGATTGTGATAGGAAGGTCAGTCATCCATATATTTGAATACCTATGTTTGAGGTGCTGTAACTAGGCTCATAATCTTAATAGGCATCAAAGACATTATTTCTTTTCTTTCTTTTTTTTTTTTTTTTTTTTGTTTTTTTCCGTGTCTGGCAACGGATCGCAACCCTCAGTGTCGCCCCCGTACCGGACCGGGACCGGCAACGGGATCGCAACCCTCAGTGCTGCGCCCGCACCTCGCTCAGCCAGTGAGCGGGAACCGGTCTGTATGTGGGATCCGAACCCTCGGTGGGAGCGCCTCCACGCTTCCCAAGCGGCGCACTAGCGCAGTGCGCCACCGGGCCGGCCCAAAGACATTATTTCTAAATATATGTAAACTATAAAAGAAAAGAGCCATGGAGGTAATAACCCCGTAAGTTAGAAATCTTAGGAATTATTCTCTGAGATGACAAGTTATGATAATTTCTCCATACTATGCCTCTGAAAAATGGGTGTTAAATTTGACCCACTTTGATTTAACTTAATATGACTTAAATTGTTATCTGGTATTTTTCATTATGCAGCTTGGGTGATGGCTGCAGTTTCCCAACTCGCCTTGTGGGAATGGATCCAGAGCAAGCTTCTATCACAAACCAGAATGAATATGCCAGAAGGTATGCTTCTTGTTGTTATGTTTTTCAGTATTCATTGTAAAGCAAACTATATACATGTTATACATACATGTCTTATGGGTAACTACAGTAGTAATTGTGTGAGCCAGCAAAGATAGGGAAAGAGAAATTCTATTTAAATTTTTTTTAACTGAGGGTGAATGTGTGTATGTGCCTAATTTACTTAGGATAACCATATTTTTTTATCACCCAAATCAGAACACTTTTGAGAGTAGGAAAGAGAATGCTTGCATATTAATAGTTAAACCAGGGCAATGATATAAAACTGGAAATGTCTGGGCAAACTAGGAAGCAACTAAATATGGTGCATCATTCTGGAAACTAAGCTATTCTTTCAAGATTTGATTATATTGGTTTATATCTGTTATATTTATTCAAAGAAATTAGTCATGTGCTAGTCACCATTTTAGTTTGATAAACAGATTTTCATGTAGGGCATCAAAATAAAATGAGGATTCAAAAATACAATTTTTTCTCATCAATTCATTTTAGAGGAAATTTTCCCATAATATTTGCATGGCAAGCAAACTAATTCATAAATTCAGTGAAACAGCTCATTTTAAATGAAATTTTAAGAAGCTAGAGACACTGTCAAAGTAAAGCAGTTCAAAAGTATTTATTACAGGATTATAAGTTCCAAGCTAGCATATTTATGTTGGAAGAACATAGGCCTTAGAACCTACGACTTAGGGCTTAGACCTTTGAGCTCTAATATTTGTTTTGGTTCTGAACAAGTCACTTAAACTCTCTGAGCCTCAGTTTCCCCCTCTGTAAAATGAGGATAGTGGTTCCTACCTGCAAGGGTTATTGCGAGGGTCAAGATAATGTGTATAAAGTGCCTAGCACAGTGTCTGGCCCATCATAGGGACCCAACAAATACTAGCTCCCTCTCCCTCTTTCCTTCCTTCCTTCGTTCCCTCCCTCCCTGGATCTCTTGGCTAGAAAAATAAGTCTAAGCTAAATCACTGAATCATTTTTTCCCCTTAGATCTAAACTGCAGAGGTAGAAAGCAGAAAACTTGGGAAATGACAGGTAATTTTTTTGTACTGGCCACAGACATAGATCCTAACCTGTCCTTGATCCTCACCTTATGCCTCTTGATTAATGTATGTTAAAGACATTTTAGACTGGCCTCTGAAGTTTTTTTTCTTTTGTCTGTTTTCGTTGGCAGTGTTGGAGTACAAATTCTTGGGTATAGAGAGCCATTTAATGGGGGGTTGTGGGCATATTTTTCTTTTGAAGATAGAGGTTTTTCACAGTCCTGAGATCTTATGAGTTGCCCTCACATATTTAGGAGCAGGAAGACTAATTTGCTGCTTATTAATTTATTGAGTATCCTTAATTGAGCATTAAACTATTTACTAAATTATTTGCTCCTCTTTTCAGTATTGGCTCAAATCAACCTTTTCCTATCAAACCACTTAGTGAATCAAAAAACCGCTTGTTGGACAGTGAATCTCAGTGGCTAGAGAATGGAGCAGAAGAAGGCATTGTCAGATCAGGTACTGGTTCTCCTCTGAACACACTGCTTCATCTGGTTCACATGAAAGTCATCCAATTCAATAAGTGTTGAAAAAATCAAAATAATGTAACATTTAAAAATACTGAAACGTGAGCTTTTAAATAAAATACCTTATATGTGGGGTGTTTGTGTTTATTGGTAGCTTTCATGGGGAAGGGTGGTTGAGTGAGCAGGGAGTGGTAGTGGCTGGGGGTTATGTTTTCTTCTGTTCAGCTGGTGGGGGGGGGTTGTTTTGTTTTCTTTTGTTACCTAGCCACATATTTCTTCACCCAGATATGGAAAATTCTTTTAGCATTGGTTATTCTGACTAATGTTTTCAGCAGTGTTATCCCTTAGGGTCAAAACTTTTGCTTAGTTGAAAATAATTTTTGAGAAGCATTGTACTCTTTGCTATCTTAGTTAAAAAAGAGTATACTGAATATATTTTTAGCCTTTCCTTAATGACTATCATTTCATGAGTGGTGGATGCAATATAGAATAGTCTAAAATTGCTGGTCAGGGATTCAGATCCCCCTACTGGCCAGCCACCAAAAAACAAAGAATACGTGATAAAATTGAAGTAGAATTTTTAATCAGACCTGAGAATATCATCTGGCCACTTAACTAGCATTATAGCCTAAAATGTATCTGAGGTAGCTCTTGATGATAATAGTAATGACATTGTCATTATGTTCTCGCACTGTAGAAAAAATGGTTTGGAACATTTAGATCAATTTGTAGTACTTCTAGGAAATATCCTAAAAACTTGCTGTCGGAATTATTTATTTATTTATTTACTGGTCTTTTTGACTTTTAGCAGCATTTAAAAAATTGTTTTAAATTAGCATTTTAAGGATCTTCATTTGTGTTCATTAGACCCCTTGTATAAGATCAAGGGGAAAAATTCTTTATGTGGACTTCTTAATTATTGCTGCTTAACATCTTTAAAGCCAGTGGACATTTTCACAAGGATAAGCAAGCATAAAACCAGACTTTTGACTCTTAATGCCCTTTACTTACTTCCAGGCTCTACAAGAAGAAAAATGGTCAGTGCCATAAGCCTATTTTTGTGCTTACATAATAGTTGTTTTTAATGTAATAAATTTTATCATTTAGCCGGAAACTTAACTCTTCTTTTTTTTGTCATGTCAATTTTGTGTGTCATGTATAATTATGTGCTTACAGGGACAAATAACCATATTACAGTGGCAATAGAAAATTGAGTACCACTTGTTCATAACTAACCATTTGAATAAGAACAAGGTAAGAGTATAACAAACAGTAATGTCCTTGAACAAATGCAATTTATTTGCATATTTTACAATCTCAAAATAATTTGCAATTCTTTTTTTTTTTTTACTCTTTTCAATTATTTCACCAAAATTAGACAGTACAAGACAGACTAGAAGATAGCATCTGCCAAAATCTCATTTTTCTTACCACTTCTAGCACAATCTTAGTATATATTTGTTGGTAGATTAATGAAGAAACTAATAAAAATAGTATTGGTATGTGGACAACTAACCCTTTGAGTAAACAGTATCTTATTTATTAGTTTAAGAAGAAAAGGTGACTTTTTGCCCACTGTTGAAGAAATTTGATCCAGAGAAGAATGACTAAAATAAGGCTGAAAAAAAGACTTGAGGTTTATTGATGTTATTTAGTTTGTAAAAGATACAGCAACAGAGCGTTGCTGTGTAACAAATTACCACAAATGTGCAGCTTAGGACAACGTACATTTACTGTCTTCATTTTTGTGTGGCAAGAGTCCATTTTCCCAAAGGGATCTTATCTGGAGCCCAAACTAGGGTAGCATCTGCTTTCTCACTAGCAGGCTTATTGTCAGCAGTCAGGTTCTTACACAGGACCTAGAGTCTGTGTCCAGTTACAGCCAGAGCCTGCCTGAGATGAGACCTTGGACAGCATCAGATCACAGGCACTGGGGGTTAGGCAGAGTGGGCTGCAGTCTGAAGAGGAGCTGTAGGACCCATATGAGGTGAACATGGCTCAGGTCCAAGCCACCAAGAGCTGTGGCTATAGAATAGCATTAGGTCCCTAGATGGGTCCCTAGTCCTGGTTTCTACATTTCTTCTTAATGTGGGTGGAATCATGGCTGATGGCTGTGGTTGTTGAGAATCCTTAGCTGTGAAGTTCCTCGAACAGTTGCTTTGAGAATGTCCCCAAATCAGAACAGATGCGGGTGGATAAGGTGTCTCCTCAAATGATGTCCAAGTTAGCAGTCATGGAGTACTAGAAGAATCCCCCTCTTTAAAAATACTCCCTTGATTGCTTCAGAGAAAGAAATCAGTGATAACCCCTTGTTTACTGCTTTATTATCATAATAGTAGATTAAAGAATTCATTTCCTATCTTATTATATATAAGATATGAAGTCGCTTCATACCTTAGCCCACAGAACCATTTAATAAATATTTTCAGAAATAAAAAATGAAGTTTTAACCAATAATTCAATTGTTTCTGTTTTTATAGGTATATAAAAACACGTTATGGACTGATATTTTCAATTTTATTTGCAAGAAAATGACAAATGGAATTAAATCATTGAGTATAAATGAAGATATATTTTTTAGAAAAGGAAGCCTTTGTACAGCGTGCTGGATCCACAGAAGTACTACTCTGGAGCAGAACAATGCCTTAATCTTAAGTGTCTGTCTGTGCAACATTGATTTACAGCTATAGAAGTGACTTAATTTTACTTTGGAAATAACAGTTGATATGAGATGTCATAATATGAGCTATTATCACATGTTGACATGGCATATGTACTTTTTTTTTTTTTTCTTTTATTTAAGTTGACCAGTAAGGGGATCCTAACCCTTGACTTGGTGTTGTCAGCACCACGCTGTCCCAAGTGAGCCACGGGCTGGCCCCATATGTACTTTTTTGATGCCTGAGTTACATTATTAGAGGTGTTTCTTAGTATCCATGTAAATTTTCACTACAAAACCACAAGCTAAAAACTTGTCTTGCGTGAAGTACATCTAGGGCAAATGGTAGCTGAATTTGATTAATAGCCAATTTACTGTTGCTTGAACTGTATAAGGAAAAGAAAACAACTGCTTTTTTTAATTGGGTGTTTGCTAATTTATAATTACTGTTTTATACTTTTCAACCTTTTTATTAAAGATTTTTTTATTGTTGGCTATAAAATAAAACTCAGAAGGATTCAGATATCAAAATTTAATCACATAGAACGTGGAACACATTTGTATAATTCACTGAAGGCTTAGTTATTAGCATTAATACAACCGTGTAGTGTAGTATATGCCCACTGCTTAAAGGAAACTTGGCAGTATAAGAAATATTTGGGGTTCTGCCTGCTTTTTAACTATCTTTTTTGTTGAACTTTCAGGGGTATATTTATATGCAGGGAAACACAAAGGTACATGTGCTGTAGAAATATTGGACACAGTAGGAAGAGGTGGAAGTGGCTGGAAGAAGAGCAGAGAGAAAGATAGGCAGGATATTTTAAGCTGTAAAAAACTATTTTCAGTCTTAAAGATATGTAGAATAAAACATGCTGTTGAGTTCACTTTCAAATTCAAATTTAGGTAACCACTAAAAATTTCTTTGAATAACAGCTTAAACAGTGACTTAGAATGCAATTCAAACTACGCAAGAAACTGTTTAGAATAATAGGGTTCTTAGGAAGAAATTGTAACATGAGTAGTCATTTAAAATTGCCAGTCTCTGAGAAGTGGATTACACTCTACAATGTAAAATCTTGAACCTGGCTTCCTATCAGCAACCCTTTTCTGACTAGACACATTTCTTCTTTTCCCATTTAAAATCTAAACAAATTGACAGGAATTCTAAAGAAAAGTACAGTATTCTATGAAAGATGAACAGTGTCGAAATATTACTCATTTATACTGTTCAGTTAAACACACACACACACACACAGTGATTGCTTCCAGTAGGTTAGGAGGAATAAATCTTACCAGCATCTGTAAGCATCAATGGTTATAGTTTCTTTGTCTCTAAAATGAGATTGCAGGGGAAGGGAGTGTTGTGAATGAGTTGCACTGGATGACTTCTGACAGTCTGCCATGCCTCATTTTTCAAAATAACCTTTTCATTCATCCAACAAATATTTTTAGAGTACCTTCTGTATGGCCAAACAATGTATTAGAGAGAGCTCTATAATTTCCTAATGTAGCATAAATTTTATAGTTGCTATTGCAGTTTTACAATTTGTAGG